TGGAAGTTATGCAACAGACTTTACTCATTTTCTCTAGCAGTTATAACTAATTTGTCATAGATATCAATCAATAAAATATGACCATCTCTCCCCTAGAGCTATTTCCTACGCTTCATTTCCAATTCCATTCATTTCCAATCCAATTCCAGAATTTCAAAACTCCTCCAAGAAACAGTTTCTCTATAACTGCTGTTCAACGCCACAGTTCGCTCCCCCATGATTATTACAAGAATTCAGAGTGAAGGCCAGACCTCGGGCGGAACTCGGCTCAAAAACAACCCAGGTGTCGTAAAGACCGGTCAGCTGGAAACGCCGGTCGAGTTATTCTTTGGGTCCGACTTTTGCGCATAACTCAGCATTCTTGTGATATCTGTCAAAAAAAATCAGTGCTAACCGTACAGATAAGCTGACTCGTGGTTAGGGCCACCTCTAAACGAGTGAAAGAAGACCGAATGATTTGATGAAAAATGATTAATGGGATTCCAAGGAAGGCTTGTACTATGAAGTTCTACCATTAAGGCTCACCGTGACGATTCAAGCCTATTCTTCACAACCACTAAAAGGGGGGGGGGTGCAAATCAGCTTGGTATGAGCAACGAATGATACTCAACTAAGCTTGTATAGGCCAGCTTGTGAGGAACTTGACCAAAGTGGATGACTCTCATCATAACGCAACTTCACATGAGTTTAAAGGACTTACTAAAGCGAGTACTGTTGTTAACAAAGGGAACTAGCGAAAGTGCGAAATGCTCCTTCCAAGCCGAACACCGCCGAAATCCACTTACACGGTTCAGTTGACGTGTAAAAAAATTGGCCGTGTTGCCCTATTTCATGGCAATGTCAGACCTCATACAGCAAAGTTTATTTGTCAGAAAGTTGCCGAACTTGGTTAGCTAGGTCCATCGCACCCTCCTCCAGATTTGGGCCCATCTGAGTGACATTTGTTAGTTTCGTGTCAAAGCGGCATCTGCGAGAGGAAAAAAGTTTACGGAAAGAGTTGGAAAAAGGTTTCGCGCTCACTCGACTCGCAGCCCAAGAGTTCTGGTTTTGAGATCCTAGTGAAGTGCTGAACGGGCGCAAGGATCAGGATGACATTAGTTAGTCTGGCAGTACTTACCCTTTGCTATTGCACTCTTAGGTGTGTATTCCACTCTATCCGAATGTTTGGGAATTTTTTTCAGCGACAATTTTGGCTAGCACCGCCCTAAGGGTATTCTGGCTCTGCATACACTCAAAACGAAACGCTCAGCTCGCGCGCTAC